CATGACTGCTTCTGTTTTTCCAAACTCCCACCTTGAAGATTTTACAGTAATATTTTGATCAAACAGGTAATACTGTTACAATAAAGAACATTTTGGCCAGGTGTGGTGGCTCATGCCTGTAATCCCAGCACTTTGGGAGACCAAGGCAGGCAGATCACTTGAGGTCATTAGCTTGAGACCAGCCTGGCCAACATGGCAAAACACCGTCTCTACTAAAAATACAAAAATTAGCCAGGAGTGGCTATCTACTCAAGAGGCTGAGACAGAAGAATCACTTGAACCCAGAAGACAGAGGTTGCAGTGAGCCAAGATTGAGCAACAGAGTAAAACTATCTTTAAAAAAATAAATAAATAAAAAAGAAAAAAAACAAAAACATTTCTACTCTGTCTACTCTAAACACTAACTTTCAAAGTAAAAAGAAATTTTCTTTTTCTGTTTTTTTTTTTAATTTCCTGTAGCTTACAACTGTCAGCTAGGTATTACTCATAATTTATATTTAGTACTCTTTTAACAATAGCTTGAATTTATGTATTGATTTCACTTTTAAAATTCTATTTTCTAATGAACAACAAAAAATGAAAAGGGCCCCATTACAGAATGGCTTATAAATGTAATATTTAACAAAAATTAATTCTCACAACAATCATGTCATAGACACAACTGAGCCTCAGATAGGTCTGAAAGCTTAACCGTAGTTTCAGAGTTCAAAAATGGCAGGGGACCAATCCAGATCCATTGTTTAAAGGGAAAACTTTGCATTGTTTCTACCATTCATTTGTTCAGAGTTTGGGCTTTTATCCTATTGGGCTAGGGGGCTGAAGCCTGAGAGCCAGACCCAGGTAGCTATGGCAAAGCTGGCAGGTGGCTTTTACCATAGGGTTGTGTGCTGGCAGACACCATGAAAGGATGAGAACATATTCAGGGCAAGTATAGCCTAGTGGCTCTTAGGAAAGAGTAAACTCAACAGCTCTGAATATGTATGAGAGTTTATAGTCTTACAGCTTGGAGAAATAACACAAAATGTCCCAGGCTTTTCTTTTTTAAAAACTGGGATAGAGGTACAGAATACCTGAAAACAATAGGAAATAATTAGTCTCACTTTGGGTGGTTGGTTCCTCAGGCTTAGAATAGTCCCCAAGAGTAAGTTCCAAGCTGTGAAAAGTAGGGAAGCAAGAAAACATTTGGTGCCTGAGGTATGAAACAGTAGTCAAAGTTGATAGAGTCAGAAGGCTGGTATTTTCAAATAATGTTAAGTTTTACTAGAAAATAAAGTTATGTTACACAGCTGAATAATGTGAAAGAAAATTAGAAAAAATAACATTTGACACTCATTAGAATTCACTAAATTTTAGCTAAAACTTCCATTACAGATTTGAGAGTAAAAGTGTATTCTTATACAATGTATAAATCATAACATATTCAAAAATATAAAATTGCATTATGAAATCTACATCTTAATACTTTCCCTCAAGACTAGTGAAATTCCTAGTGTTAATTTTAGAAAAAAAGTGTATTCTTTTAATTAATCAATACTCATAAACATATTATAAACTATGATGAGTGCTATGTAAACTAAATTTTAAATTAATTTGAAAAATACAATTGCATTTCCTGATACAAGTATGAATTATCAATTTGTGAAACTCGGACGCCACCTATTGTTTAGAAAAATAAATGCATCTTTTTTTGAGTTCTATTTTTGCTAACAACTTACATGTCTCTGGAAAAATAAGAATATTTTACCCATAAAACAGTCTGGGGTCTCCAATCATACAGAATAGAGTTTTCAAGGACATAAAAATATAAAATAAAGTGCCCCTAAATTTACCTTAGGTTGGAAGAAGTAAACCATCTCTAAGTACCCATTTCTTCAGAGGAGTGTGTTTTACCCTAGTAACTTTTTTCATATGTATATAGTTTTTAATGAAAAGTTTTAATATTATTGTCAATCTGCATGCAGTTATAAAATATAACACAGAGTAATCCCATTTACTCTTTATCCTGGTTTCACCCATGAAAAATGACTAAAATATCATCATTGACATAGTCGAGATATAGAACATTTTTGTCATAACAAGGATCCCTTATGTTGCCTTTTTATAGCCATGCCTACATCCTTCCTGCCCCACACTAATTCCTTAACCCTTTACAACCACTAATCTGTTGTCTATTTCCATAATTTTGTCATTTCAAGAATGTTCTACAGATGGAATCATGCAATATAAGGACATTTGGGCCTTGCTTTTTTCATTCAGCGTAAGTCTCTGGAAATTTACACAGGTCCTGGTATGTACCAATAGTTTGTTCTATTTACTGCTGACTAGTATTGTATGATATGGATGTACCATTCCATCTAGGTCATCTAACAACCGAGAGATCCAAAAAGGGGTGGAGAGTATTGTATGATATGGATGTACCACAGTTAAACAAACTTAGGAAAAGACTACACTGAAACAAACTGTGGCACATCCATATCATACAATACTACTCCTCCCCTTTAAGGGCATCTAGGTTGTTTCTAGATTGTGGATATTACAAATAAAGCTGCTATGAACATTGGTGTATAGGTTTTTGTGTAAACATAAGTTTTTCTCTGGTATAAATGCCTAGGAGTGCAACTGCTGGGTTGTATAATAGTTACATGTTTAGTATTTTAAGAAATTGCCAAATTATATTTCAGAGTTGCTGTACTACTTTATATTTCTATCAGCAATGAATGAGTGATAGAGTTTATTTGCATCTTCACCAGCACTTCACATTGCACTTTTTTATTTTGGCCATTGTGATAGGTATGTAGTGGTATCTCGTTAGTTTTAATTTCCATTTCCCTAATGGCTAATGATGTTGGACATCTTTTCAGCTGTGTATTTGCCATCTATATATCCTCCTTGGTGAAGTGTCTTTTCATTGATTTTGTCCTTTTTCTAACTGATTGTTTCTTACTATTAAGTTTTGAGTGTTCTCAATATAATTAACATACTAGTCTTTTTTAATGTATGTCATTTGCAAATATATTCTCCTGTAATATATTGCAGCTTGAATTTTTATTCCCTATAACAAAGTCTTTCACATAACAAAAATTTCCAATTTTAGTGCAATCTAATTCATTGAATTTTCTTTTAATGGACTATGCCTCTGGTGTCAGGTCTAACAGCCCAAGCCCAAAGATTTTCTCTATAACTTTTTTCTAAAATGTTTTATACTTTTATGCTTTATATTTAATTCCATGATCCATTTCTAGCTTATTTGCATAAAAAGTGAGACTTAGGTCAAAGTTCAATGTTTGGCCTGTGGATGTATGGTTGCTCCAGCTCTCTTTATTTGTTATCTGTCCTCTATTGAATTGCTTTTCTGTCTTCATCGACATTCGGGCATATTTGCATAGGTCTATTTCTGGGTTCTCTCTTCTGTTTCATTAATTTATGTTTCTATCCCTCCATCAAAACTACTATACAGACTTGCTTACTATAGTCATATAATGTCTTTAAATCAGGTAGAATGATTCCTTCCACTTATTCTTTTTTCAAAATTGTTTTAGCTTTTCTAGTTCTTTTGCCTTTCCATATAAATTTTAGGATAATCTTGTCTATATCTACAAAATATCTTGCTGGGACATTGATGATATTTTATTAAACCTACATCTCTACTTGAGGAGAATTGTCATGTGAGTCTTCCAATCTACAAACATATGCTGTCTCTCCTTTTATTGAGATCTTGTATTTCTTTCATCAGCATTTTGTAGTTTTCATATAAGTCTTGTACATGTTTTCATTTACAACCATGTCATAGAAGTATTTCCTTTATGAAAACACATATTTAAATTTGATGTCTACATGTTCATTGCTAGTATACATAAATACAATTTTTTATGTTTACCTTGTATCTTGCAAATTTGACAAACATACTAATTCTAGTAGTTGGTTTTTGTTTGTTTGTTTAGGTTCCTTGGGATTTTTTTTTTTTTTTTTTGTATTTTTTTTAGTAGAGACGGGGTTTCACCATATTGACCAGGATGGTCTCGATCTCTTGACCTAGTGATCCACCCGCCTCGGCCTCCCAAAGTGCTGGGATTACAGGCTTGAGCCACCGCGCCCGGCCTCCTTGGGATTTTTTACGTAGCCAATTACGTCCTGTACAAATCAGAACAATTGTATTTTTTTCTTTACAATCTTTATGCCTTTTATTTTCTTTTCATGCCTTTATTATGCTATCAAGAAATTACATTACCATGTTGACTAAGTGAAGTCACCTGAATCTGAAATTTTCTTTGTGAAAAAATATTTATTTACATTTCTTTAGTAGGGAGAAGTCTATTTAGCTTATATGTTTCTTCACATGTGTCATAAGAATCTTCAAACAATATACTTCTATATGTTTTCTTTCCTGCTTTGTCCTTTATTTCATACATGTTGTATCTCCATATTTATATATATTACTAATTTTTAAAAGGTAAACTTCCTATTCCTCTTACATTTGCTATTTCTACAGTCCTTTCTTTTCTTTTTTTTTTTTTTTTTTTTTTTTTTTTAAGATGAAGCTTCACTCTTGTTGCCCAGGCTGGAGTGCAGTGGCAAAATTTCGGCTCACTGTAACCTCCACCTCCCAGGTTCAAGCGATTCTCCTGCCTCAGCCTCCTGAGTAGCTGGGATTACAGGCATGAACCATCAAGCCTGGCTAATTTTGTATTTTTAGTAGAGACAGGACTTCTCCATGTTGGTCAGGCTGGTCTCAAACTCCTGACCTCAGGTGATCTGCCCGCCTTGGCCTCCCAAAGTGCTGGGATTACAGGTGCGAGCCACTGCACCTGGCCTCCACAATACTTTCTTTGTTCATATCTAACTTTCCATCTCTTGTCATACTCCTTCTGCCTAAAGAACTTCTTTTAACATTTCATGTCTGCTGGAAAGGAATTATTTCTGCTTTTTGTTGTGTAAAAAAGACTTTCACCTTCATTTTTTAGAGATATTTTCACTGGGTATATAATTCCAGGGTTTACTTTTTTTCTTTCAATCTGTGTTATTAAGATGGTGCCCTCTATTGTCTTCCGGGTTGCATAACTTCTAAAAAGAGGTCTGTTGTAATTTCTTTCTTGGTTGCTCTCTGGGTTAACTTTCTTTTTTCTTAGGCTGCCTTCTGCCACACATAAAAGCCAAGTTGAAAAAATATTTTTGATCTCTAAATTTTCACAAAAGTCAAGTATTCTTAATTACAGCCATTCATAAGTTGTTTTGATCTTCCTGTCATTTCTGATACACAAATACGTTGGAAGTAAAATATTTACCACAGAAAATGTACATAAATATGATATTCACAAAGGTGATGAATTTGTTTTACTTCTCTAAATACGCCATTATTTTTAATATTTCTAATTAGCCACTCTGTGTGAGAACATAAAGAATCATTGTAATTCCTGCCTATTTTTTAAGATATTTCTTTAAATGTCAAATAAGTTGCTTCAAAATGATACAAACTGATTTCCTTTGGTGGTATTAAGCTTTATTTTCTCATTGACTATATCTACCTCTAAAATTAAGGAAGAACAAGGACATTTATTCTTCTGATACATAATTTTGCTATTACACACACAAAGCTCAAGATAGTGTATAAGTCAAGATAGACTGTATTTTGATATGGCTAAAGAAACTTCAGTGGCTTACGACAATAAAGGTTTATTTATGCCCATGCTAGATGTCCACTGCAGGTTGACTGAAGCTCTGCTCTGTGTCATCTACACTCCAAAATCCTGATCAGAGCAAGTGATCATACCAAGTTTCACATCAAGGAGGTGGCAAGGTATTTCTGAAATATACTTCAGTCTACTACAGTTAGACTTATATGTAGACAAAAGCTCGAATTTTCAAGTCTGGGTCATCAGTTGTCATATGCTGCAACCTACATTTGCCTAGTTTTTGATCATGTGCCAATAGGTGAAAAATATAAACCTTCAATCAAATATTTTTCAGAAACTATAGGAAAAGAATATAAAGGGTGGCTATGAAGAATATCATTTAAAATAAAATTTTGTAATTATGTGTGGGTTTCAATAATCCTGACATTAGAAACATCCATAAAGATACTAATGTAAAAGTTAGGTATATTTTAACCTAAGAAATACTGAAAAAGTCACATGATTACTTAATCTTTCCAGCCCAATATCAAAGTAAGAATTTTATGCAAGAATAGAGTAATATACTTTTTACTTCTATAAGAATCTGTTTTTATTTTTCTTTTTTCCTTTGTCCTCTTTCTCTGTGTCTAAATTAGATAGTAGAATGCTCCTTTTCTCAAGTAGCCTCTTAGTTAATGATTCTCAAAATCCATGGGCAGGGTAGCAGGACAGGGAAAATTTGTTACACCATAATCACTGGCAGCTTTTTGAAAAAAAATATCTTTGCATTTTTCTCCCTTCCACAGTCCTCTATCCCCACCATCACCTATTCACACTCTCAAACATATTTTTCAGCTATTTTTATGCCTTTCTATAGGAAGAGAGCAAAAGTTAACCAGAGATTCTATAGTAACTTCTTTCTACTAGCCTTGTTAGAAACAATATTACAACCATAGACTTTGTCATGGAACCTGCAAAGACAGAGTAGGTATACACCTAAATGTAGCGACATTTGAATAGATGATATCTGTCTACAAAACTTTATCTTAAACACTATGGAATATCATTCTTTAAAGCCCTCTGAAATAACTAATTTATATTAATTACTAAAGATATTTGTAGGATAAATATATTAATTGTAAGCCACTACCAGTCAATTTCACCTAAACGAAAACAGAGCTCTATTGAAGAGAAAAAGAGTTAACTAGTAGAAGTTAGGAAGTGCTTAAATCCTAGACCACTGTAGCATAATTTGACGTACTAGGCAAATGACATTACAAAGACCTCAAGCATTTAGGAGGAATGGGACATGAAAACAAGGAGAAAATATCTACTTTTGTTGTAGTTTCCCTCGGATCACACCCTCCAGTGATGGAGAGTATGTTTCAATATATACGGAGGAGTGATCCATAAGGTTATCATTTGTAAAAACTCATATACTTTATTTACAGTGAAAAAATTTTAAAGATGATATCTTAAATATCTTAAGTTCTAAGCTATATTATTCCTTTTTATTTACTTTCACATTCGTTTTAGTGAAACTAAGTTCTATTACTCTTAATCGATGAAGAAACCTAGGCGCAAAAGATTAGAATATTTTTGTTCATATTTCTCTGTGATAGAACTAATTGGAAATATTTCCTGACCCTCTAGGCAAGTACTTATTTCTGTTACACAACGCAAAGTTTTTACTTCCATACTGCCTATGTTGGAATAATTTGGTGATCCTAGACACTACTCCCACCACAAATTGTAAAATGGGAAAACCTGATGTAAAGCATGTAGTCTTTTTCTATGAACAATTTGGACACTAACACATTATTAACTGAAGACTGTTAGAGAATTACATGTTCATAATATAACTTCTTATGGCAGCTTTTACACCTTATGGGCCCGATAAGGTACCAGATAATTTATTTTTGCTTCCACAGTTCTTCAGAGATTGTTAACTGTCTACAGAATTCATAGCATGGCAATCATGCCTTTTATCTTGTCATAGGTTTTTAATATACATTGTCAATTTTGTGAGGTTTGAAATATTTTTATATGTAATCATTGACAGTATTACTGTTAAAAGGCTCTTTCACTTGTAGCATCTGAGATTTGGGAACAATGTAAACAATACTGAGACAAATTCAATTAATAGAATATCACAACTTTTTTTTTTTTCTTATAGTATCTATCAGCACTTAGGCAGCTTCTATGCCTGACTCACAGGAGGAAATTTTCACAAAATTCGAAAAGCAAATGTGTATCTATACTATATATCAGCTCCAATTTCTTTATAATTCAGTGCCTTCTATCACCATAACAAGTCAGGCCCTTTAATGTATAGAAAGATTCACTATTAAGAGAGAGGCCAAAGGAAAGTGTTGTTATTTTCCTTTTCTAGTGCATTACCCCAACTGTTGCTTTTTCTCAGGAATTTTTGCTATCCCATTATATATAGGAGCAATTAACTAATAAAATTCCAGTGGCCTCCTGAACTCCCACCTTCCAAGTTCCTATTCTTATACTTTGTCTTCCTTAAGATCATACTTTGATACTTTAATAATAATAATAGAAACATTCCAGGGCATCAGAAGACCAACATTTCCCATAAGACTTCAGGGCTTCTGCTGGCATTCAGATTCTTCAACAATCCCAATAGTTTTGAGTTCCAGAGTAGGGGTGGCTCACTTAGCTATGAAGGTCTTCAGTGTCCACTCAAGTCTTTTGAATAAAGTTGGATGATTCTTCTAACAAGTATGTGTGTATGTGACTAAAAGAATGGTAGGGTACAGATATCTAAACCTGAAGCACAAATCAGAAATCCGTTGTGACATTCTATTACATCTTAAATTTATCTTAATTAGATAGAAAGAAGAAGTTTCTTACTAACTTTTAAGAAACATAAAAATAAACAAGGATGATTCATAAAACACATGTTCCCCTTCTTTATTGTCTCTGAATGGTCAATCTCCAAAAAGCAGGATAGAATTCTTAGCTTGTCATACTTATAAATAATAATCATTGTAGTCTATTAATCTCATATGCTTCTAATAAGAAGAAAAATGACACTTGATGTGGGTGGCTCAGTTTCATTTTCTTCAGAATCTCCATTATGTATACATTCTTTGAAAATCCAGCATTCCTCAAATATTTTAGTTACATAGACTACATAGATTTTTAAACATATATGTTTTACCTTATTTTTTAATTTATGCCTGAGTTTTCAGGGACATAATCAACATTAAACAAAAAGTAATGCAACTATCTCCAGATACACTTCTTGTTAATGATTGAGCAGGTTATTTCAAGGAAAAAAGCAGACCTACGTTAATGTGGAAACTGAATCAGTAATCTAAACCAACTCAACAAAAAAAAAAAGCCTAAGACCAGATGGCTTCACTAGTGAATTCTACTAAACACTTGTTTAAACAAGAGTTAATGTCAACCCTTCTCAAATTCTTCCCCAAAATAGAAGATGAAGGAGCACTTGCAAACTCATTAAGCCAGCATTCCCTGATATCAAAGAGAAACAACACAAGAAAAGAAAAGTACAGGTCAACATGCCTGATTAACGTAGATGCAAAAATTTTCTACAAAATACTAGTAAAATTAATTCAGCACCACATTAAAAGATCATACATCATGACAAGTGGGATTTATCTCTAGGATGCAACAGTGGTTCCATATACAAAAATCAATCAGTACAACCATGCTCAGTAACAGAACTAAGGGTAAAACTCTCATGACCCTCATAATGAATACAGGGAAAAAAAGCTTTTGACAAAATTCAACACCCTTTCATGACAAAAACTCTCAACAAACTAGAAATAGACGGAAATTACCTAAATATAATAAAGGCCATATTTGAAAAGCCTGTCACTCACATCATTCTCAATGGTGAAAAACTGAAAACGTTTCCTGTAAGATCAGGATCAAGAAAAGGACGCCCACTTTCACCACTTCCATTCAACAAAGTACTGAAGTCCTTGACAGAGGAATTAGACAATAAGAAAGAAAGAAAGGCATCTAAATCAGAAAGGAGAGAGTAAAATTGTCTGTTTGCATATGACATAATCTTCTAAATAGAAAACTCTAAAGACTGCACACACACACAAAAAAACACTTCGAATTAATAAATTCAGTTAAGTTGCAGGATATGAAATCAATATACAAAAAACAACTACATTTCTGCATACTAGCAACCAGTTGCCTAAAAATAAATTAGGAAAACAATTCCATTTGTAATAACATCAAAAAGAATAAACTTAGCTAGGGTGGTGAAAAATTTATATACTGAAAGCTATAAAGCATTGATAAACTCAAAGTTTTATGTATCAGCAGCCCTGGCACAAGGTGGTGGGCTACCTGCCCAGGATCTCAAATCAAGTTGTCCACAAGCTACTTTCTCAGCTAGTGCTCAAAGTTCTCTTCCAAGCTCATTTAGGTGCTGAAAAAATTTAATAATTTGTATCTGCAGGGTTATTTTCTTGATGGCTGTTGCTCAGGGGATGCTCTTCGTTCCTAGAAACTACCCTCAGATCTTGCCACTTGGGCTCCTTCATACTCAAAGCCAGCACAAGAGAGTTTCCCTTACCTCAGATCTTTCTCATACTTTCATCTCTGACTTCTGTACCTGAACTATGGACCTAGATTTAAAGGGCCCATGTGATTAGGTCAGACCCAAACAGGTTAATCTCCCTTTTGCCATTTAAGGTAATTACAGGAGAGGTAATGACCTCATCATATATTCCATACACACTCAAAGGAAGAATACATAAAGGCATAGGTCACAAGGTGTCATTTTATAAGTCTGCCTAAAGCACAAGGCTTGGGGAATCATAAAAGCTAAAACATAATTTCTCAAAGAAGAAGGTAAGGTAAGAGATTTTCAATGTTACCTCTCCAGTTAGCTAAAAAATCTTGTAGACCATGAGATGTTGTTTACCTTAGTACTGTCATGTATAATACATGCCTGACACATAACGAATACTCAGTATTTGTTGAATGGAACACTTGCCTTCCCTTTGTGAATACAGAGTTCTAAAGCATGCACTGATTAACCTTACTTTCCAGTACCTTCAATTGTCTTAATTGTTGAAGGTAATCAGTTGTCCTAGATTCTACTTGAAGTTCCCCACTAATTGAATATGCCAGCAAAATCCCAAATGAAATTGTTCCTAGTAAACTCACTATAACTCCAATCACTATGTCCATGAATTATGAAAACCCTGAATATGAAAAAATTCAAAAGAAGCAAATCAGTCAACACACATTTACATGTAGTCTAGATGCACAAACTGGTCATTTAACATAGACATTCTGTGGTGATAACTAAATAAGTCCTCTGACTTCTAGCCCTTCCTCTTGCTAACTCTACTAAATAGAAATAATGAAGTATAAAAATTGTAAATGCTCCAACAACTGAAAGACACACATAGTTCACTAAACATTTTATTCATTCATCCAACAAATATTCCATTCAATAAATATTTAATTTTAATAGGTGCCTACTAGGTGCTAAGAAATGTAGTAGATATGGAAGAGAATACAAGTTCATTCAAAATGACAACTCTTTCATAAATCAGAACTGATTTATGGATCCCTGTTTACTCAAATAGCTTAAAACTTGAAAACTTGGAAAAAATGTTTTCTCCCTACAAGATATTGTGAAAAGATCAAATTGGAAACTTTATTTTGCAAAACTGAGCGGCATTAAGATTGTCCATTAGATGGCAAATCGTTACACCTGGAAATGCACAATAGAACAAATATTTTATAGAATTATAGATTTTGTTATTAAGGCATTTTTTTTACAAATGAAGCAAATGCCAAATAAAATATTCTAAAAGCACCTCAAATCTTAATCTTATCCAGAATAAAATTTTTTGATACTCCTATTACCTTATTATTGTTTATGAATCAAAAGCATGGCAAAAAAGAAAAAAGAAATGAAAGGTTATAGAAAGGAAATCTTTCTTAACTGTAGGGATTAAATAAGAGGTGCACAATTATTTTTCATTGAAATAGGTGTAAATAAGACAAAAATGTGCCATAAGCAACTCTGTGAGTAAAACAGTCTAGATTGTAAGATTGAAATCACTTATAAATAATAACTATGTCTAGAAGAGAAATATTAATGGTCCTGTGAAGAGAACCTATGCAAATCTGTAGTAATTAGGTAAAGGATAAATATATTATTGGGGGTGGAGTTTATTGCTGTAAGAAATCACTGAAAAAATCTGTTAAACCAAAGTTAAATCAACTACATACTATGACATATGCAATAAATGCATATGAATGTGTATTTGTAGTCTCCACATTTTAACTATTAATGAAGGTCATTAAGAAAAAAAAAAAAAAACAGGAAACAGGCAAAGGATAGGCCAGGCATTTTATATTATTCTCCCAAAAGGAAATCAAATGGCTAATAAATATGAAGATGTTCCCCCACCACCAGTATCCAACTGGTAGATTTTGGAGATTGCTAATAACCAGTGCTGCCGGCTGAGAAAAGAGGCACAGGCAAGGGTGATGGGTAAGTAAATGTATTCTCTTAGAAAGTATGTAATAAATTGATCCCAAGTTTTCTGAGGTGATTTAGGAGCATCAAAGGCTTTAAAACATTCATTGTTTATCCAGAGAAAGCATTTCTAGAATTATACCCTCTGAAAATAATTGGATGAGTATACAAAGTTGTGTGTATATAAAGACTTAGCAAAATGTTATTTATAATAGTGAAAATCTGAAAATAACCTAAATGTTTGCCACATAAGATTATTAAAACTAAATAGTGGCATATCCATTCATATCATTAAATATTATATAGGAATTATAATTTTGTTGTAAAAGAATGTTTCACGACTTGGAAATCTGTTTGTAACAAACTGCTAAGTGAAAAAAGTAGGTTCAAAAACAAATATGACCCCATTATTAAACACACAAACATATATATATATATATTTATACAAACACACTATACTATCTATACAATATATAGACATATACTATATAGATAAATATATAGATATGTGATGTGTATATTGTTATACTGATTATATATAATATATTAATAGAGTTACATTTAAGTTAAAGGATTGGGGATGCTTTTTATTTTATATTCCTTTGTTTATATTTTCTAATGCTTCAAAAGAAAATGGCAAATTAAATTCAGTAAAGAACAGCAATGAATCAGCAGAATCATCACAAAGGGATGCTGGCCAGCAAGCAGGAGTGCAAGAAACTTATTTTTTAGATTTAACATTAGGAGAAGATTATCTCACTCTAGAAGTCCAAGGCAACCACTATAATTGAACACAAATGGCTTTTAAACTTTTGCTAATATTTAAATAAATCTGTGATGTACATCAGTGTATATTAATATTTGCCTTATTTTCTAGTCATTTTCTTAGAATATATTCCAAGATGTGGAATGACCAGGTCCAATAACAATAATATACTTTTAATAGTATAGTTGCTGATTTACAGTAGTCTTGAATTATCCAATACAAAAAAGTTCATCTCTACAAAAATGGATTCTTTTACAAAAATGTCCTTAGAATTATTTTTGAAATGTTATATCAAAATGTTAAAAGTTATCATGTTTGAAAATATAGTGAATTCTGAGGCAAAGAGTGTTATTAGCTTCTTAGGCATGTTTTTCAGCAAGAGTTTATGTATTTACTGATTATATACACTAACATGGGGAAAATATTTGACTCAGTATATAACAGGTCCTCTGACCTCTATGTCCACTGCTCCCACATACTGTCTGCCACAATAAATGATCCATATGTGACTTTCAAATGAATGGAACCAACAGCTGCTTTTTGTTATCAATGGTCATAGTCTCATTCCAAAAAGGGATTATTGTGCATCTTATATATCACCATATGTCTCCAGTGATTTCCACCTAATCTCTTTATTTTTATAGCAGCATAGCCCTATAATGTTGCTAATTAAGGTACCAAGTTAGAGTGAATATTGTTTTCATTCTGTAAAATGTCCATGTTCTAAAATATTTCACAATGTGGAGATGGGAGAGTAAAATTTAAGCCAGACATTTTGAGCCTCTAAGTCTCTTCTCAATAATATTTTAGAATTTAGGCATTTTAAGAAGATACAGTCTCTTTTTTGATGTAAGTTTTATTTAAGTCCACATTAAAAATACCTTGGTATGGGCTAAAGTTTAAACAATCCCACAAGCTGAAAGCCAAATCATGAATGAACTCCTGTTCACAATTGCCCGCAAAATAATAAAATACCTGGGAATACAGCTAACAAGGGAAGTGAATGACCTCTACAAAGAGAACTACAAACCACTGCTCAAAGAGATCAGGGATGACACAAACAAATGGAAAAACATTCCATGCTGATGGATAGGAGGAATCAATATCATGAACATGGCCATAGTGCCCAAAGCAATTTATAGATTCGATGCTATTACCATTAAACTACCACTGACATTCTTCATAGAATTGGAAAAAACTATATTAGAATTCATATGGAACCAAAAAAGAACCCAACTATCAAAGACGATCCTAGACAAAAAGAATGGGAGGTATCACATTACCTGACTTTAAACAATACTACAGGGCTACAATAACCAAAACAGCATAGTACTGATACAAAAGCAGACACAGTGACCAATGGAACATAACAGAGAACACAGAAATAATACCACACACCTACAACTATCTGATCTTCAACAAACCTGACAAAAAGCAAGGAGGAAAAGATTTTCTATTTAATAAATGGCATGAGGATAACTAGCTAGCCATATACAGAAAATTGAAACTGGACCCCTTCTTTACATCTTATACAAAAATCAACTCAAGATGGATTAAAGACTTAAATGTAAAACCTCAAACTTTAAAAACCCTAGAAGGAAACCGAAGCAATACCATTTATGACATAGGCATAGACAAAAATGTCATGACAAAGATACCAAAATTAATTGCAACAAAAGCAAAAACTGACAAATGGGAT